CCGAGTGCTCTTTAAAGGTGCGTGAATAAATCACGATGTCGTCGAAGTAGCACATGCAGTATGACCACTTTGCTTCCCCAAGGACACGGTCCATGAGTCTTTGAAACGTCGCAGGAGCATTGCAAAGACCAAGGAGTATACGAGTAAACTCAAACAACTCTCTGTAAGACGTGAACGCAGTTTTATACTGTTCACACTCACCCATGCAGGCCTATAAGTAACCTTTAAAGGTATCAAACGTTGTAAAGTATCGTGCATCACCCAGGTTTCCTACAATGGAGTTTATCGTGGGGAGCAGATAGACATCCTTACGAGTCACTTCATTGAGACGGCGATAGTCTATGCACAGGTGATCACTGCCATTTTTCTTAGACACCAACACAATTGGAGGCGCCCAGAAGCTAGACAAGCGGCAAATAATGCCATCCGCAAGCATGTACTCTATCAACACGTCGATAACCTGCCTTTTGGCGAGACTGACGGGCCTGGAGTTAGACTTCAAAGGAAGCGCGTCGCCAGTTTCGTTCACGTGGCTCACAAAATGGGTGCAGCACGGTTGATCTGTGAGGATCTCGTCGTATTGACGTAACAGTGTCGACAGATGAGCCTTCTATGTATCATCTAACTTAGTCGCGCAGGCGACAAAATGATGTAGTGCCTCTTCATATCATGTCGGTTGATCCAAACAGAGGTTTCCGACAAGCGCTTAATGCCAGAGTACGACCCCGAAGTTTGCTCGCAACACAGTTCGTGCCATTGCTCCCGTTCCCGAAGGGTACTGTGAGAGTGCGAATGTGTTGAGCAGGGGCTTGGCCCCGATCTCTGCGCAGGGCACGTTTTTGACGTTTCTGTGGCAAAGGCAATGGTAAGTGCCGGCGGGCTGATGAACGGCTTGAGTTGGTGAAATGGGCCATCACGATAGCCGCTATTCGCAATGTCCACAATGATCCCGGTTTTAAGAAGAAAATACCAACCGAGAATCTTTGGAACATCGAGCCCTGGAAGATGAACAAGACTGCAGCATCTCATTCGATCTCCCCATCTGACAGTTAACCTTGCAGCGCCTGCCGAATGGGCCGCGCTTTCCGAAAGGGTAAATGTCGTTCGGCTGTCCCGCAAGCGCACTAAGTGCTTCTGCAAGTAGGACAACACCTGTTCGCCAAAAAACGAGGTGCTAGCGCCCGTGTGTAGTAATGCTGAAAATTCACAGCCGGCGATATTCACCGGAATGAACGGCGCATGTGCATCAGTAAGAAACATGTTTGCCCTGCACGCCGAGGGAAGAAGAAAAGGTTCCATCGCTTGTGCATTCACGAACGACCTGCAAACCTGTTTTCCTTCCTCACAGGAGGCCTGGATCCGGTGCACTCCCTTGCTATGTGCCCTCGTTCACGGCAGCGGTAACAGCGCACTCCATCACAGTCTGTTTTCCCAGACGGAGTAGCCTCTAGCTGTAGTGATCGGCTCGCTACGTTATCGCAGGGTACAGTTCTGCGAGCGTCACCTTCCACATTACGTGGGGTTGGAAAGTATTCCTGGGTGGAAATTTCAGGTGGTGCAGCACAGGCTGTGCACTTTTTATGTGTGTAGAGATCAAGAGCGCGATTGCTCAACTCCCAAGCACAGCCAGTTGCAGCCGCAAAGGTGGCGCCGTGAAGCTGTTGCCGTTGGGGAAGAGTCATGGCCCCTCTCCAAGCGTAGCGCAGTAAGAAGGTTGCCTTGAATACGCGCTTTGCCTCAGCGTCTAACTCCTCCAAAGCATAAAAGCGGCCACCGCGCAGGTGTGCCAAAAAAGTCTGATGTGCCTGGCGTATCACCCTTTCGACGCGCTCCTCGTTCGAGGCTAGGGGCTCAGCGATAGAGTAAAGTTCATCAATCGCACATACATACTCTTGTAAAGGCTACTCAGGAGCTTGTGTACAGAGCTGGAGCTCTCGCGACATCATACTTTTGTAGTCAGCGGGTAGGAATTCGCGCAAAAAGCCCGCGCGAAACTCCTCAAGGGTTGCTGCGCGGTAACCGGTAGGTTGATACCATCTCGCCGCCGTGTCAGTCAGTGCAGCTGGAACAACACATTCATGCACCACCTGATCATCCAAACCCATTGCTCTCTGATAACGTGACAGAGAGTCAAGGTAATCTCAGGTGGTGAGCAGGTCACCGTATCTCCTGTAGGTTGGCACATGCAACATAACAGCGAGGTGACTGCTTTTCGGACTAGCCAAAAGCGTTTGCACAGCTCCCGAGAGTGCTTGTATCATCTGCACGGCGTTTTGCAGCAGTGTCTTCGTCGCTGCACTGGCTTGGTGCGTTAGCCGTTTGTGCGTTAGTGGTGCGGTCGAGCGAAAGTGAGCAGTCTCCCAGCTCGATCAGTGGGGTGGTATCAAACAAACCACTGCCCTGCGTGCCACTCCCAGAGCAAAAGAGAGTTCCTTGTGGGATTGGCCTGTTGTCGAACATAATGCGCACTTGCTGCAACTACCATTGACAATTCAGGCGCCTGCTCAGCGTGCGTTTGTAGTGTCGGTTGCACGGCTGATGGCAGGGAAATGTCGGCGAGGGCCAAAGCCTGCGCCCAGTCAATTCTGCAGAAAACTGACAGTGAGCGCTGTGCTGAGGAACTGCCATGCCTGCCAAAGGGCGTATTAGCAGTCAGAGGGGCTTGTGGGTAAGGGTCGGGTAGGGCAAGAGGCCCATTCTGAAATGGCGCACCATCTCCAAGGGAAGTGGATAGGCGCGTCGTGTCTTCACCGCAATATGGGGTGGCGACACGGACGGGTGCCGAAGGGGTCCCGTCAATAGAGGCAATGGCCTCCTTGTGCAACATGGCATCCGCTAAAAGGGACGGCGGACAAAATCCCACGAAGCGGAAATGTTGCGACGAGCCCGAATCGCGCAGGCTAACTTACTCGTTGAGAGCAGTCAAAATCTTAGAGCTTTTGATACCGCGTTGCTCGCCAATGTAGTGACACGTATCCCGAAGGAGTACGGCCACTAGCGTGGGTCCAGTCTTAGCGAGCCGCAGGGCACGCGTTAGCCATCGCTGTGGTGAGAACGCGATACTGCTCAAAGTCGCAACACTTTATTGCCTGCGGCAACACCAGAAATGAAGTACAGATCTTGTTGCAATGGCGCGGAGGGAAGGCGAATGGGCTTATCCACGCCACGAGCAAGAAGTACTACACAGGGTGCCGCGAGCACATCGCTGTGGTAAAAGTGATTCATGGTGACACCGGGACAAATGGCTTGTTTGCTCGAGCATGGGCGAAGGTGCGCTCGCGTTGGCTTGGGAGAGATAGGGGTCGGCGTAGTTTGACCACGCACTAGGATATCGCACTGCTCTTCGGCTTAGCGTTTGCAGCGAGCAATAAAAGCTGAGCATTCGCCGCGGGCGTAAGGCGAAGTGTGATGAGCCCCAAACAATAGGAGTCGACGAACGGAAAAGTAAATGGGTGCTCACCCTCAGCTGTCCCAGAGAAATCAGACTCACTCCCGGCACGCGCGCAGGAGACGTCCCAAAAGATTTTGCGCACGGTGCCACAGTCGACATCTGCTACCATGTGAGAGGGGTTAAACGTCACTCCCTGCTCTCCCAGCGTGGCAGACCACGAAGGAGGGGAATCATGTCAGGACATGAGGACGACAGAAAGAGGCGGCAGGCTAGCCTCAATTCCCACAAGTACTATTATCATGACCTAATTAACGGGCACAATATATATTTTTTCATTTAAAATGGGGCCCTGGGTAAATCTGTTTTTTTTTTTTTTTCGTTCAAAGGAAGTCCAAATAACTTTGAGTACTAGCGGGATATGAGTTTCGGTAGGATGCTGGTGATAACCTGTAAAATATGTAACATTTTAAAATTTATTATACTTAGAGCATGTTAGCCGTTATAACATTATTTTAAGCGTATTAAAATGATGAATTGACTTGAGGGTAGCATGTTCATTTAAAGGGACCCTGCAACACTTTTTTAAGTAGCCATGAAGCCACTCAATTGCCTCACGAATTCATCACTGCAAATCATTTAGACTCATTGCAGTAGGAGCGGAGTTCCAAATATTTGTCACACACTGCAATTGCAATTTCTCTTCTAGTCCCAGCAAAAGAGCTGGAAGCTAAACAGGGAGAGATGGCACAGGGAAAGGAAAAACGACATGTGCGCCTCGTGACCTTCAGCATTTTTTCTCTCTTAATTTTTTTCAACAGCCGCCTCAGCAACAACTGAGCATGCCATGCTCAAGTTGGCCAATGGCTGTGACAAGTGATCTTTGAGCTTGTAGGGTCATTTGCCAAGGGAAGAGAGCAATTTTTAGCTGACTTTCAAAATTTATTGTGAATTTCAGGCTGTGTGCTGCGCTATAATATTTGCCTCGCGTGCTCTCGGTCGCCTCAACTATGCTCAACAAGTGCTTCAGGGCCCTTTTAATTTTGAAGGGGGGCTTCGCGGCAGAGCGGATTTTTTTTTAATATGTGCTTTCACAGTTTAGCACCTCTACACTGCAGTGAAACTACTTTTACAGGCATTTACTTGCGGACTAATGTACATCTATTCGTTCATCGCAGATACTTCAACATTTTTAATAATTTAAATTCAAATCGCAGCGAATTTAAATACTCTACTATTCGTTCGAACATTCGGAATATTTGAATACTTGCACACGACTACTTTTCACAGGTGCCCGTGTAGTGGTGAAACATTCTGTGTGAAAACAAGTTGTACCAAATTGATGTCTTTTTACTGTTGCCAGAGCAGTGGTCAAGCATTTTATGTGAAAAGAAATTTCACCAAAATGATGTCTTTTCACAGGTTCCTGTGCCAAACAGCCTGTGAGAAGGAGTTGTCTGAAAATTATGCCTTTTCAGTGGTGCCAGAGCAGTGGACAAGCATTTTGTATCAAAAGGACTTGTACCGAATTGACGTCTTTTTGCATGTGCCAGAGTACTGGTCAAGCATTCTGTGTGAAAAGTATTTGTAACGAATTGATGTCGTTCCACAGGTACCAGAGCAGTGGGCAAACCTTCTGTGTGAAAAGGAGTTGCACCAAAATGATCTCAAGAAGAAACTGGGCCAGCTTTTCTACCTGAAAAACCTAGAAAAGGTACGACGTATTGGCCATACAATCTTCGAAGTATAGGGAGGAATGCTAGGAATGTAATAAACATTTAGCTGTACTGTAAGAATTCTGGATGGGGCACCTGCAATTTATTCCTGCCCTCTTAGGTGTCACTCCTGTTATGATTGAGTCGCCAGAGTTTTTAGATGTTTCGATGGTATTCTTGTTCTTTTACATATTGGGAGGAGTGCTTTTACCTTTGGCGTCATTGGTGAAGCCATGTCTATGGTGTACTGAAATGAAGCAGTGTGCCATCTTCACAGCAAACCGATGGGAGAGTGGTGGTCGCTTTTGTGATGACATCATCAGTAATGCACCACCATCGTATGGTGTGCCCAGCGCACGTAGTTCAAATTTGCATTGCCTACCTTTGTGCCGATTTTCAGTAAAATAGTCGCATAACACGATTGAAATTAAAAAGTGTCTGTGTAACATCAAACCACATCCAACAGATATGGGTGCATGAATTATATAAATAATGCTGCTTCTGCGTAGCCGAGCTCGCACAGTTCCTGAGAACAGGGACCCAGATCGTCTGCTAGCTTACTGTTTTAACTGCAGAAAGGTTAAAAAATCACATTGCAAGTTATTTAATCTATATGTACCCCTGCCTAGCTATCGCACTAACTTGATGTCATGCAACGAAACAAACGAGGAGGTCCTGAAGGGTAACGTTATCAGCGGGCGAGTTCCACCTGCCTGCATGAGCCAGGAGACTAAGCAGTTGCGCTGTCAAAAAAAATGCCTAATGACGTACTACTTCACTTCTTTACACATTTTTCTAATTATATTTATACATATTACGGCCAGCGCGACAACTACAAGAATTGATCTCGGAGGCTTTGTAAATCAGCTGCTCATAAATTACTTGAGAGGGCGCCGACAGGTTGCAACACGGTGTGCTCTAGCAGCAATGGTTGTCATCGCAAATAAAAGAGCCACGTCTGGGACACCAGACGAGTACACCATAGCCATGTCAGTGATGCTGCCCACATTTCTGTTTTGCTCATGAAGTACCCCATGAGCTTCATTAGGTTTCTAGAATTGTCTGTCACTTTTTATCCTCATGACGTGCACTGGATTCACGAACTAAAAAGATGCTTTTATTTTATGAATCCTCCCACTCTAAGCTATATCAAAGAACGCCAATTTGTGTGTTGCAAATGTGTTTTTGTCTTCTACCTCACTGTATTTTTGTCTGCTAAGCTGATGCATCCTGCATTTTCAATTATTTCTTTCTTTGGAAATTTGTTTAATAAATAGTTCATATGTAAACTGTTTTAACAAAACTTGAAATTCAGGGATAAATTCCCGTAAACTGTTCTATACTCATTTTTTGCATTCACACACAAACTTTTAATTGAAATGCATGATGCACCAGCTTAGCAGACAGAAATTCAGCTTACAGATGACGAATAAGTGTATCCATGACGGGGTGCACATGCAGGAAAGAGTGTATCGTAGAGCAAATGCTGTACATGTGCAGTATTTCTAATGATGGCTCTTACGCAGGACTGATAGTGCTGTCCGCTCACGTGTTCACCCAATAGCGCATTAGGGTTCAGCGAGTGGTAGCAGCGCTAAACTGCTAAGCCACACACACAGCGGACGAGGCAGCTCATGATCCAGATTCCTCAAGATGTTTGTTGTTAGTAGATTCCTCAAGATGTTTATCGTTAGTATATTTGTCGCGATGATGTGCCAGCGCATTCATTAGCAGCCTTCATATTACGCTCCCGTGCATTTTCGAGCAGCCATCATGGTGTATGCGCCGAAGTCGCAGTAATAACTGCATGGTTTACTGTTGATGGACTTATCGTAAAGGTGCGAAATAGGAACTTTTTTTAGTAACATATGCGACGGAATATTCGAAAGGTTCGAATACTCCAGTTTCTTTGCATAATCAGTACTTTAGAATATGTGGTTTTTTAACCGAATACAAATATTACAATTGCAATATTCAACAAATATACTTTGGATTATTCACACACCTGTATAAGCAAAAGTAAAAGAAAAAAACTCCAATTCACTCTACACTTAAAGCTAGTGTATAATACAAATGGACAGCGGTACACTTTACTTTTAATTCTTAGCCTGTTACAAATAACTTTAGTGAATTTTTGGTGCGTTTAACTCAGTGATTGTCAGTCTGCTTCCTGTTGATTACCTGATCATTCTTTTCTGCACAGCAGTGCATAGCTTATTGGCAGCCGTAAGAACAACATTAATGGCGTATCTATTTCCCACTTTCTTTAGCCTATGACGTGCGCAAAAAATGTTAAAAATTGTCACGAATTCATCTCAGGAGCGTAGGATGAATCTGAGACAGGCGAGAGACAGGTGTGGCATGACAAACACATTTTTTACCCAAAACGAACAAGAGCAATTCAGTGAATTCGCATTAACTCTTTCATTACCGCGCGAGAATGGTTGTTTTTCATATGCCTTTCATATGCCAGTTTGAAAAGTACACCAGCACAGATTGTAGCATACTAAACTTCGCAGAATGAAATGTTCTTTTAAAAAACATGTTTTAGAGCAACAAAAATATTTAAGAAGGAATAAAAATGTCAACAGTGAAATATTTCATCACCAGCTGATAAACAGCGCAAAAAAAAACACTATATATGCAAAAATATTCAAAACAAACGAAATACTTATTTTGTAGATAAATGACTCAGGAACATTGTAAAAATAAATAATACTGTACAAAATGTTTCTATTCACATAGACAAAGAAAAGAATCGAGGTGCTGCTTCATTGCTCATGCCATGCAGTGAAGCATTGCATGGTTTTTTTTGGGGGGGGGGGGGGGGGGACACAAGTGTACTCGTGCACACTTCTCAGTGAATTTTCATTGCCTTGAGGTAAGAGTCTCCAGGTGTTCCAATATATATGAATATTCATGATGTGAATAATCCCTCTATAAATGCGATGTCCAATGAACTTTGCTATTTCATCTAGTGTCACCTCTTTCTATGAGCCAACTCACTCCACATAAGTTGGCGTTCCAATATATGCATCCAAGCAAATTCCTTTGCATCTTTGTGCATATCATAATAAAAAAAAGACAATATTGCGTGAAGTTTGAATATGTCTCGCACTTCTCTATAGTCAGGGCCAAGGTGTGCTCTGGGGGCCTTCTTGCCGTTAGGGGAAGCTCTGCAGCCAGTGCCACCACACCCCACCCTAGCAAAGTGTGGAAAAGGCACATCATCTAAGTAACTATAAGATTATGCTCGAAGGTCAGAAGCTATACGCACTAGCGGCGGAGGGGATAACCTGAAGATGTAAACGAAACAAACCCATGAACAGCTACGGATGTCTCAGGCTGACGCAAAACATCGTTTCCATAAAAATTGAAGCTGAGGTGCTGTCATACGCAAAATCTCAGCTCGTTCTCACTCAATTGAGGTGGGTCGCAAGACAGTTTCAAGCAGCGCATGTGTTTTGCAGCACTGATGCGCACCCATGTGCACATGACTGCGTAATAGGAGCGAATAGTGACACTAGATGAGACCCTGTGTCTGATATAACGACTGAAGCAAAAACAGAGTGGCTGGAAACTGGCTGTGAGAGCCACCTGCACGCTTTATACATGCCGGGGACCTTGGGAAATATTTTTTTGTAGAATTAATTTTCCCTGACTTCTAGCAACAGCTCTCTATTGATTACTGAATAAATTTAGGAGAAATATTACTGCTCAACTCGGTCAAATTGCGAAGCTGACTCATCAATCTGATATTTGGCTTGCAAAGTTTCTTTTCAATATAGAACTTTGACGTTACTGCAGCATAATCACAAGAACACGCACTTTTGTCAAGTTCACCAACCTAGTGCATTTTCCCAACTCTACACGCACATTGGTTTGCGCAAAAGTCAGTAAAAAAATCGCTATGCTGCCCAAGTCGGCAAATAAAAGAAATTCTGAAAGTTCTATGGCTGAATTAACTACTAGGAAGTGCTGGGTACACGAGAAAGAAATTTAACATGCCAAAATTGATGGCTGAGAAGCGTGGATCACCGGTGATCGAATTGAATAGGTGTGGTAACAAAAGAGTTAAGGCACTCAATAACAATGGCACTAAATATCTCAAAAAACAGTATCTCAACAACCAAAGCTCAATAACCCTCAATTAACAATCCGCATACATGGGCAAACCCAAACTGGCTGTAGCTCAGTTCCAATCCATTGCTAGCCCTAGCCACTAGCCCTGAGCCAAAGGTGGGCTCAGTAGCTGTGCGAACGCGCAGCCTAATCCGTTTGCATTCATCATGTAGGTTTTCACCATGCCTTCAAAGTTGTTCCTGCTGTTTCTCATGCCTGGCTTCATCGGTCCGTCAACCATTCCCTCCTCCTTCCACAGCGGCACTTCAAACTTGAATCCCGCTACTATCGCACCGGATCCAGCAACAGCGCCGCCACTGCAAACCTTGACCCTCGACCACACGTGGACTACCCCATCAAGACAGACATCATCTGCAGCCACGACTACAAAACAGCCGCCCCTGTCCGCGCCGCATTGTGGGCTCGGTAGCTGTGCGAATGCGCAGCCTAATCCGTTTGCCTTCCATCATGCAGGTTCTCACCATGCCTTCAAAGTTTGGTCTGCTGTTTCTCAGGCCTGGCTTCATTCGTCCGTCAACCATGTCCCTCCTCCTTCCAACAGCGGCACGTCAAACTTGTATCCCGATACTATCGCACCGGATCCAGCACAGCGCCGCCACTGCAAACCTTGGCCCTCGACCACACGTGGACTACCCCAAATCAGACGACATGCATCTGCAGCCACGACTACAAAACAGCGCCCCTGTCCCCATTGCCACTGCAAACCTTGGCCCTCGACCACACGTGGACTACCCCATCAAGACAGACATCATCTGCAGCCACGACTACAAAACAGCCGCCCCTGTCCGCGCCGCATTGTGGGCTCGGTAGCTGTGCGAATGCGCAGCCTAATCCGTTTGCCTTCATCATGCAGGTT